CACCACGCCTGGCTAATTTTTGTATTTTTAGTAGAGACGGGGTTTCACCATGTTGGCCAGGCTGGTCTTGAACTCTTGACCTCAGGTGTTCTGCCTGCCTCAGCCTCCCAAAATGTTGGGATTACAGGCGTGAGCCACCTTGCTTGGCTGGTTCTCTCTAGTTTCAATGAGAACAGAATGGTCCCTAGGGTGGGTGATGGAGCAGTCTTTTAAAGATGATTGTATTATTTATAATCTTGGTCCTAAATTAGAAAAATGAAAAAAGTCTTCATAGAAGTCACAGGCAGGCCAGACATGGTGGCTCATTCTTATAATTCCAGTGCTTCGGGAGGCTGAGGTGGGAGGATCACTTGAGGCCAGGAGAGACCAGCCTGGGCAACATAGTGAGACTCTGTCTCTTTAAAAAAAAAAAAAACAAAAAAAAGCCAGGCATGATGGTGAGTGCTCACAGTCCCAGCTACTCAGGAGGCTGAGGTAGGAGGATCACTTGAGCCCAGAAGCTCAAGGTGGCAGTGAGCTAGGATTGCCCCACTGGACTGCAGCCTAGATGACAGAGTGACATCCTGTCTCAAAAAAGGAAAGGAAAGGAGGGGAGGGGAGGATGGAAAGGACCGCAGACCTAACTGTCTCTGTTGTTAAGAATCAATGTTTGGCCAGGCGCGGTGGCTCACGCCTATAATACTAGCACTTTGGGAGGCCGAGGCAGGTGGATCACTTGAGGTCAGGAGTGTGAGACCAGCCTGGCCAACATGGCAAAACCCTATTTCTACTAAAAATACAAAAATTAGCTGGGCATGGTGGTGGGCGCCTGTAATCTCAGCTACTCGGGAGGCTGAGGCAGGAGGGTCGTTTGAACCTGGGAGGCGGAGGTTGCAGTGAGCCAGGATTGCACCACTGCACTGCACTCCAGCCTGGGCCACAGAAGGAGACCCTGTCTCAAAAAAAAAAAAAAAAACAACAAAAAAAAGAAACAATGTGCATCATCTTATTTCCAGAGTCATTGCCGCATCCTACGATAAGACTGTGAGGGCCTGGGACCTGGAGACAGGCAAGCTGCTGGTACGTATGCCTGCCCAGTGGGCGCGTTGCAGCTTGACCAAGTCTCAGGCAGCTTTGGGTTGGACCCCCGGTAGGGGGAGGTGATAGAACTCCATTCTTCTAGGAAGGAAGCGTGTTCCTGGGGATGGAAGGTACAGATGTGAACTGCACCCCACAACAGCCATTGCTTGCAAAAAGTCTGGAGGGTGAGAGGGTGGGCACTGGAGAAGGAAGACTTCTGGAGGAGGCAGATGGAACCAAGGCTTTTGCTTGAAAGGTGGGATGGGTTTGGATACACAGAAAGAAGCCAGAATGGGGGGTGGGATGTGGGGGCTGGTATTCCAGGCTCCCCAGTAAGATGTTTGGATTTGATTAGGGAGGAAGTGGGGCTGAGGCCATGGGACAAAGGCCATGTGCCCCCAAGAACCAGGGTTCCGGCCCTTACCAGTCTGTTCTCTTTATATCTTGGAGGGGGCCACTCTCCATCCATCCCACAGGCCCAAGACTCCCACTTGGCCCTGCACCCGCCCCAGGCAGCCTCAGCCCTGCTCAGGGGCCTCCTCGGGGTCTCCTGCCCCACCCCTGCGGTCCCTCCTGCTCAGCTCCTGCAGGCCTTTCCTCTCCCTTCCTCCTTCCTTTCCTTAAAAAAACAACCTTTCGGCCCGGCGCGGTGGCTCAAGCCTGTAATCCCAGCACTTTGGGAGGCCGAGACGGGCGGATCACGAGGTCAGGAGATCGAGACCATCCTGGCTAACCCGGTGAAACCCCGTCTCTACTAAAAAATACAAAAAAATTAGCTGGGCATGCTGGCGGGCGCCTGTAATCCCAGTTACTCAGGAGGCTGAGGTTGAATTGTTGGAACCCAGGAGGCGGAAGTTGCAGTGAACTGAGATTGCACCACTGCGTTCCAGCCCAGGTGACAGAGCAAAACTCTGTCTCAAAAATAAAAAAAGAAATCATTCATTATATAAAGAAAAAAGCAAAAGGCTGCTGTGTCTGTCCTGTCTCCTCCCCAGAGGCAACTGTTATGAACCATACGCTGCTGGGTGGCCTTGCTGAACCCTGTGTGTGTACCTGTGCGTACACATTTGCACACACAACACTGCTTCTCGTATGTGCTTTGTGTTTCTTTTTAACGACGTGGCACTATACCATGTACACTGCCCCACAGCCTCCCTAGTAGCCTCTAATAGCCCACCTGACACTATGCCCCCACCACGCTTCAGACTCCAGCTTTGCCCCAAAAAATACAAAAATTAGCTGGGCATGCTGGCGGGCGCCTGTAATCCCAGTTACTCAGGAGGCTGAGGTTGAATTGTTGGAACCCAGGAGGCGGAAGTTGCAGTGAACTGAGATTGCACCACTGCACTCTAGCCTGGGTGACAGAGTGAGACTCCGTCTCAACAACAAAAAAAAGAAACAATGTGCATCATCTTATTTCCAGAGTCATTGCCGCATCCTACGATAAGACTGTGAGGGCCTGGGACCTGGAGACAGGCAAGCTGCTGGTACGTATGCCTGCCCAGTGGGCGCGTTGCAGCTTGACCAAGTCTCAGGCAGCTTTGGGTTGGACCCCCGGTAGGGGGAGGTGATAGAACTCCATTCTTCTAGGAAGGAAGCGTGTTCCTGGGGATGGAAGGTACAGATGTGAACTGCACCCCACAACAGCCATTGCTTGCAAAAAGTCTGGAGGGTGAGAGGGTGGGCACTGGAGAAGGAAGACTTCTGGAGGAGGCAGATGGAACCAAGGCTTTTGCTTGAAAGGTGGGATGGGTTTGGATACACAGAAAGAAGCCAGAATGGGGGGTGGGATGTGGGGGCTGGTATTCCAGGCTCCCCAGTAAGATGTTTGGATTTGATTAGGGAGGAAGTGGGGCTGAGGCCATGGGACAAAGGCCATGTGCCCCCAAGAACCAGGGTTCCGGCCCTTACCAGTCTGTTCTCTTTATATCTTGGAGGGGGCCACTCTCCATCCATCCCACAGGCCCAAGACTCCCACTTGGCCCTGCACCCGCCCCAGGCAGCCTCAGCCCTGCTCAGGGGCCTCCTCGGGGTCTCCTGCCCCACCCCTGCGGTCCCTCCTGCTCAGCTCCTGCAGGCCTTTCCTCTCCCTTCCTCCTTCCTTTCCTTAAAAAAACAACCTTTCGGCCCGGCGCGGTGGCTCAAGCCTGTAATCCCAGCACTTTGGGAGGCCGAGACGGGCGGATCACGAGGTCAGGAGATCGAGACCATCCTGGCTAACCCGGTGAAACCCCGTCTCTACTAAAAAATACAAAAAAAAAAAAAAAAAAAAAACCCAAAAAACTAGCTGGATGAGGTGGCGGGCGCCCGTAGTCCCAGCTACTCGGGAGGCTGAGGCAGGAGAATGGTGTAAACCCGGGAGGCGGAACTTGCAATGAGCTGAGATCCGGCCACTGCACTCCAGCCTGGGACACAGAGTGAGACTCTGTCTCAAAAAAAAAAAAAAAAAAAAAAAAAAAAAAAAAAAAAACCCGAAAAACAACCTTTGTTTATTTTTTTACCTGTTTTTTTTTTTTTTTTTTTTTTTTTGTAGAGATGGGGTCTCGCTACATGGCCCAGGCTGATGTCAAACTCCTGGCCTCAAGTGGGCATGAGCCACTGCACCCGGCCTATTTTTAAAATATAGGAATAGTAATTGTCATATGACAGTTACTACTATAGGGGCTGCTGGGTGAAGGATATGGCTGATCTCTCTGTTTTTCCTTACACCTCCATGTGAGTTTACAATTATCTAAAATTAAAGTTAAAAAAATGTGTAATCATTGTAAAGACATTCATTATGGGCTGGGCGCGATGGCTCACGCCTGTAATCCCAGCACTTTGGGAGGCCAAGGCGCGTGGATCACCTGAGCTCAAAAGTTCGAGACCAGCCTGACCAACATGGTGAAACCCCGTCTCTACTAAAAATACAAAAATTAGCTGGGCATGCTGGCGGGCGCCTGTAATCCCAGTTACTCAGGAGGCTGAGGTTGAATTGTTGGAACCCAGGAGGCGGAAGTTGCAGTGAACTGAGATTGCACCACTGCGTTCCAGCCCAGGTGACAGAGCAAAACTCTGTCTCAAAAATAAAAAAAGAAATCATTCATTATATAAAGAAAAAAGCAAAAGGCTGCTGTGTCTGTCCTGTCTCCTCCCCAGAGGCAACTGTTATGAACCATACGCTGCTGGGTGGCCTTGCTGAACCCTGTGTGTGTACCTGTGCGTACACATTTGCACACACAACACTGCTTCTCGTATGTGCTTTGTGTTTCTTTTTAACGACGTGGCACTATACCATGTACACTGCCCCACAGCCTCCCTAGTAGCCTCTAATAGCCCACCTGACACTATGCCCCCACCACGCTTCAGACTCCAGCTTTGCCCCACACTGCTCCGTGATCCAGCCCAGGCCTTTGCAAGCACCGTTCCTTCTTTCTAGAGTGCTCTTCCATTTCTGCTTCCCTTGCCGCCTTTTCGGGCCCTTCCTGGACCCCTCAGGGTGGCCAGGCTTCTATTGTCTGGGCCTTGGTGGCCCGTGCACTCATCTTATGACCCGCAGCATGTGGCAGGTCATTGCCTGCTCCGGGGTGTCTCCTCCATCACACTGGGAGCTCTGCAGGGGCAGGGAACGGGCCACGTGTGCTCCCGGTTCAAAGCCTGGGACATAGTAGTCACTCAGGAATGTTTGTGCAGGTGCGTAGCTCCTCATGAAAACTGGAATTGTGTTTTGTCATCTTGTCACTGGCTGGGGAAGTCGTGGGAGTCGTCCAGCCCAGCATGTGGAAGGCGTGATCTCGAGTCCCTTTCTTCTCTGTTCTGCAGATCATCACACAAGGACCATCACGTCATGCTGCTTTGACCCCGACAGCCAGAGGGTGGCTTCTGTCTCAATGGACAGGTGCATCAAGATCTGGGACGTTACATCCCAGGCCACGCTGCTCACCATCACCAAGTGAGTTGGACCCCAGGAGGTCAGAAGGGAGTTTGGGCGGGGTGTCCCCATTCATGCCCTCTTGGATTCCACACAAGCCAGCATCCATGTGGACACGTCTGTAGCTTGGTCATGGGTGCTCCGAGGAGGTTGGGGACAGGCAGGTGGGAGGGAGCCATCAGCTGCAGCCTGTGGACTTGGCTGGGCCTCAGATGCATTTGTTTCAATGTGAGCCACTAGTGGAAACCATTGTGCAGAGAAGCCCACAAAATGTGAAGTTCCAGCATCTCCTGTAAAATGGGAAGGTCGGGCTGGGCGTGTGGCTCATGGCTGTAATCCCAGAGCTTTGGGAGGCCAAAGTGGGAGGATCACTTCAGGCCAGGAGTTCAACACCAGCCTGGGCAATGTCATGAGACCTCATCTCTACAAAAAATTTAAAAATTAGCTGGGTGTGGTGTCACACACCTGTAGTCCCAACTACTCATGAGGCTGAGGCTGGAGGATTGCTTGAGCTCAGGAGTTTGAGGCTGCTGTGAGCTATGATTGTACCAGTTCACCCCAGCCTGGACAATGAAGTAAGACCCTGTCTAAAAAAAATAAATAGGCCAGGCATGGTGGCTCACGCCTGTAATCCCAGCACTTTGGGAGGCCTAGGTGGGAGGATCACGAGATCAGGAGATCGAGACCCTCCTGGCTAACACGGTGAAACCCCATCTCTACTAAAATTATAAAAAATTAGCCGGGCGAGGTGGCGGGCGCCTGTAGTCCCAGCTACTCAGGAGGCTCAGGCAGGAGAATGGTGTGAACCCGGAAATCGGAGGTTGCAGTGAGCCGAGATCGCACCACTGCACTCTAGCCTGGGTGACAGAGCGAGACTCTGTCTCAAAAAATAAAATAAATAAATAAATAAATAAAATGAATTAAGTCATTTTGGAGATACTACATTATTATTTAAAAAAATTTTGGGCCGGGTGCGGTGGCTCACGGCTGTAATCCCAGCACTTTGGGAGGCTGAGAGGGGCGGATCATCTGAGGTCAGGAGTTCGAGAGCAGCCTGGCCAACATGATGAAACCCTGTCTCTACTTAAAATACAAAATGTAGCTGGGCGTGGTGGCGGGTACCTGTAATCCCAGCTATTCAGGAGGCTGAGGCAGGAGAATCGCTTGAACCTAGGAGGAGGAGGTTGCAGTGTGCCACTGCACTCCAGCCTAGGTGACAGAGTGAGATTCTTGTCTCAAAAAAAAAAAA